CAGGGGGCAGTGGGGATTGCCCCATCCCACCTGGCACCTGCACGGCAGCTGCCTCATGGTGCAGATTCAGGGTGGCGCACACTGTCTGGGAGCTGGGGCAGCTCCACATGTCAGCTGGAGCCCAGCATCTCACAGCCCCAGCACCCAGACAGCATGCAGCACCCTGCTAAGCCCCGCTGCCATGCCATGCTGCCCCGCTGTGCGCGGGGTTAGGGGCACTGCCACAAGTGCCCAGAGGCCCCAGTCACTGCTGCCACCCCCGGTGAATTCAGGGCTTTTTTTTTTTTTTTTAAATTGCTGGAATGCTGGGACTGGGCAGCAGGGGAGTGCTGCAGGGGTCTCTGCCACGTGGCCCCAGAGCCCCCACAGCTGCTGATACTGTTGGTGAGTGCCGTGCAGGTTTTTTATGTGTTTGTTTTTTGATTCCTGTGCTGCTGGGACTGGGCAGGGGAGGCATTAGGGGCAGGGCCTGGTGGGGAACAGTGATAGGGGAGCAGGGGCTGTGCGGAGAGTCTCTGCCGGGATGCCCCAGAGCCTCCACAGTTCCTGATATAGGTGGTGAGTGCAGGGATTTTTCTTCTTTCTTTTAAAGTGCCGGGACTAGGCTGGGGCCAGACAGGGCAACCATGGGGGCTTCTTCCACAGGTCCCCCTGCCCAGGGGCAGGCGCAACTGGAGGAGCCGTGGGAGAACCTGTGACTGCCTGGCTGTGCCTGCTTCTCCCCAGCCAATCCGAATCTCTTCCGAATCAATTCAGAAGCTTTGGATTCAACTCGAACCTTTTAATGGGTCTCCCGACTAGATTCAGCCACCAAATTGGGCCGAATTTCCTCTGAATCGAATCGGAGACTGAAGCTTCTCACAGCTCTTGTAATGAGTGTAATTAATTAAGATGGACTAAGCACTAACTTAATTCAGGTATTCAAATCATGCTTTTTTCTAGCTGTGGAGACTAGTGGCCTTTGCAGGCGTTCTTTCCTGGCAGTGCAAATTTCGCAGAAATTTGCAGCACTGGAAGTCCTAGTGAGAGGGGCAGTGTGCAGGTTTTCCAGCCTGCAGCTGCTGCCCCTGCTCCCTGCACATTCCCAGACAAGGGTGACCCTCATCCCTGAGAAGAGTGAAGCAGCAGCTGTTTCCTTCGCCACTGCCACCACACTGGGTTTAGCCTGGTCTGGAGAATGTGAGGGGAAACCATTACTTGTTGCTCCTTTCCTCCCAGCGACCAGGAAGAGTAGAGCATCTTCTCTAATCCTCCATTCCTCCCTCCCCACACTGGGGTCACCTTTGTCGGGGGATGGTGGGAGAAGCGTTTTCTCCCAGGAGGAGTGGTGCAGGAGAAGTGTACAGGCATTGATTCCTGCATGTATTTTTATGCACAGGAAAGGTCTTCCTCAAGTTCCTTCAAAAGAAACTGCATGAGCACCAACACTCCCAGTTTCTAGGAGGAAAAATGAATGCCGGTCCATACTCCCAAGCTGTTGGCTTTTGTTTAAGAGCCAGGCATGGTTTAGGACTTTTAAAACTTGCTATCCCCTGTATACTCCCTTATATGAAGACTTTTTGGATCTTTCTTGTACTCAGCAGGAGTTCAAATGTAACAGAAGCAATATCAGGTTTTGTATCTCTTTATTTATAAACTTCACTTTTCGTTTTGTTTTTTCTTAAGCCAATCTCCATCTGCTGCTGCCTGGATGGGTGGATTTGGTGCTCAGCCTGCCCAGGGACAAGGTGCTCCTGTAATACCTAACCAAGCTGGATATGGTATGGCAAGCTACCAAACACAGTGAGCTGGAACTCTGTTTAAAAGTGTGTATTTCATGATAGGCTTCAGTTTCCAGTGACACTCTGAGGACTGGAATGTAGACACCGGAAAAAGAAAATATTTATTTTAAAAAATGGAAATGTTTGGAACCTTTAGCACAGCTTTGCTTTGGTGAAGGACACAAATGTCTTCTAGTTCTGCCTTTTTAAGTTTTTGTTCATGATGGATATGAACATGTTTTTTCTTTGTGTACAAAAACTAAAATAAAGTCAATAAAGACAATTCTGACTACAAATTTTGATATAGTAGAACAAATGGCTAATGCATTTGATCTTTAGATTACCATTCCATTTTTTTGTTCTGTCTTCAGTGTTTTACATCACTGTGCTTTTTAAGAGAAATGACATTTGAGATACAGTAAGTGGTTTTTAGTTGAACATACATCCTGAAATTAACTGTGGACCAACCATCACACCCGGTAAGACAGTATTGCTTTTTCAACTAATATGAAGACATCACTCAGAAATCATATGTAGCCATGAAGTTATTTTTTAAAAATATTTAATTTTCTATATGCTTTGGAGAAACAGAAATCTAGTTCAATAAGGGGTGAAAAACAGTACTGTCTGAATTATGAGTGAACTTTTGCTGTCCACATTCAGGCACATTAAAACATTTCAGATCCGGTTTACTTATTTAAAACTCAGTCATTTTGCATTTAATTTTGAGAAGCAAAATGTTTTTGCAAGTATGATGTTTGTATTTAGTCAGGCAGACATACTTGAGCTTTTACATAAAATTTGAAGGCTACACATTGTAAATATTTCATAATTACAATGTTTCAAAAGCATGCTTAAACATAGAAGTAGCAATGTAATTATTCAGAGTAATACTTAATATACTCTACTGCTTTATGCAGTAGATTGAGAAGAATGTGCAAGACTGACATTTCCAAAGTTGGCTATTATGTAAAGTTACATAAATTACTATACAAAGAGCCTTAATTTTAATTTCATAAATCCTTAATGCATCACCTTTTGTCACTAGAAATCTGAATTTTTTGCTTTTCATTATTTGGTATGTAAATACCTTGGTTAACAACCTTGTAAACTGATTTCAAGGTTAATATAAGTTGTATAGTATCTTGAGTGTTTTGAAAAATCTTGATGTTTTTTAAGTCTAGAAATATTTTGCCCAAGAATTTTTTAACAAGATTGTTAAAACATCTTATTTTAGAAGATATTCAATGTGCCATTTGGTAAATGGAGATGCAGTTGAAACAGTACACTGAGTTGTGACTTATTTTTAATTAAAGTTTTTGTCTTCATGGGTGGTTTGCATGTGACGAACCTGTACAGAGGCTGGGTTGTTTGTGTACTGAGTGTGTAAATGGATAAATCATGAAGATGTTTAAATGGTATACTTGGGTTATTTCTGAATTATTTTATGGATACATTGATATAAACTGCCTCAATAAATTTGAAGTTGAAAATGAATGTAAGTTAGATACAAGTACTGTCTCTTACCTGTGACAGCTAGGGGGTGCACGTGTTTCAGCAGTATACCTGAATACGCTGAGACAGGCACTGTGATATAGAAGTGTAGGACATGCTACAGTAGTCCAGTGAAGTAAACTTGCATAAAAAATGGAACGTTGCTCACAATTTTGGATTACAATTTTGAAAGTGTTTGAGAATCTCTGCATTTTAGTACATTCTGTGTGTTTTTCAAGGTAGACTAGGACTTTGAAATGGAAGGTTGCAGTTTAACACTACAAATCTAGCCAAGTTTTATAACTGATTACACATCTAAATGCTTTAGAAAATCAGGTGATTCCTTTGGGCTTTTTTTTCCTCTCTCTGCTTATAGCACCTTACCTCTTAGGTCAGGTTGAAAGGGAGAAGTTTTGAAAGAGCATCTTATCAGTGAGCTAAATTATACCTGCAGGAACATACATGCAACTGTGATGGGCACCTTAGGCATGCAATAATGACTGAAGTCAGTGTGAAACCACAAGTGCTTGGGATGGCAGAACTTGGCCCTTTATTTCTCTTTGCTTCTTCTTTACAGTGTACTTACTATTGTTCTGCTGAAGCTAGAAATCTCATCTATAAGAATCTTGCATTTCTATAAATTTTGTGTATATATGTATATCTTTTAAGCGAGGATCGGCTATACATTGTAGTTTGGAAATTTTCACAAACAAGTCTGAATTTTTATAATGCTTACCTGGTAAAAGGAAACTTAACCTTTCATGGGTTATCAGAGACATGACTTTGCAAATTATTTTAGGGTTTATATCTTTCACTTTCATGTGAAGTGTGGGGTTTCTACTTATTTCTAGGTGTTGAAATAACTTAAGTAGTAAAACTATTGATGTGTTCTGGCTGTATGCTGTGATTTTTTTGAGCACGGCTCTTTCATGAGTTTACTGAATATTTAGATGCTGTGGGTGTATTGCCACAAATACTCAATGAAAAGTGGGCATAAAGCTAAGCCAGTGATTCTTCAAGACTTAACTATGCAGAACTGTCTGGTTGAAATGAGAAGAGCAATATGTCCACTGTGAAAATGGGCTCTAGCTGACCTGTGTTGTAGGAGGATGAGACGCATGATATCCTTATCTCTCCATTAAGTTAGGTTGCTTCCAACTGTTTTTATACATCTTTTCTTTAACAGTGATATTTCTTTGCAGACTATTCAAGCTACAAGAGTTTCCAGTGTCTTGAGGCTTGTAATTCTGTAGCACTGTGAAGAAGAATTAATGCTTTGATTGAGAAGAAAGCAATAGAATTCATAAGTGCATCACTGACAGTTTAATTTTTTGGCACCAAAGAGCCTCTTGCACCATATTGCTTTTTTGAATGATGCTGTTACACTGTTGTAATCTGACACGCTCTAGCTGCAGCAATCGACCATTACCTAACCCCTTGCCACTAGGATTTGGATTTCAGAAATCATTGGTTTATCATGGCTGACATTGGTGGGGCAACCTTAAGCAAGGTTGTAATCCACATTTGCAGAAAATGTTTCAATAAAAGCAAACTATGATAAATGGCTTATCCTGTTTTGTCATTCGTTAAATCCTTTTTCCTTTACAGTAAATTGATAGCAACTACACAAGATCTGATTTTTGTAAACTATGCACTTGTATAAGGCACATACAACTTAAAGTAAAATGTTTATTTCATGCAAAATGCAATGTTGAAATATTTAGTTGTTGAGTTTGAAGTTGTATGCAGAACTCTTACTTCTGCCACCTCCTGCATATTAATTCTGAAACTCTTCAAATATATATCAATCAGCCACCTGCCTGTCAAGAATGACGGGTGGGATGGAGTGCTGCCATCTAATGCCCCATGCTGCCACTGTTCTGCCTCTTGCAGGGAACGGGGTGAGAGAGCCAAGGGCAGCGCTGCTGGCCTCCCACCCTCTGTCCGGTCCTCGGCACGGCTTCGGAATCATGGCGGCGCTCCCCCACACATGGAGCGCTCTGGCTGTTTCCGTCAGCCAGTTAGGGTGAGGATGAAGTGTGACAGACAGACGTAGGCTTTTATAATATTAGAATATATATAAAAATTTTGATCTGCAGGATGTCCTTTTTCATTCATTTATGAAGGTTTTGAGACGGCTTCATTGTCAAACCACTTCTCCCATCTCATTCACGTATTTTTGTAGCAAATGAAGCAGCCAACAGAAAATAGTATAGTTATCTATTTAAGATTTCCTCGGTGAGCACTGTTATCTCCTAATGCATTGAACTGCAAGTTTTGAACGGTGATATAGAATCCCTTTTTTATCATGTATAACTATTGCCTGGTCAGTAGTAAAATGTTTTATCTTGTACCATATGCACTTTTCAATTGGGCAAGTCAGCAGTATGCTTTATTCAATATAACTTTTTTCACAAGGGATAAAAAAGCATTTGGGATGAAATAATTTCTTGTAGCATCATTAAGAAAATATTGTAGGCTGACTGACAACTTATTCCAATTTGATTATATGCAGTACCCCATGATAATGGCAGATGCCTAGTTGAATGTTCCTTACTGTCTAACAGTGATCATATACATCTCTTCAATCCTCATTTTTGCCACATGAAAAGTTGTATTACTAGATGGCTGAAAGATGCTCCTAAAGGTCCTTATCTGGCTTCATATCTTAGCCAATATATATTGAATCTAATTGACCAACTCTGAAAAGCCTTTTTTTTTTTTTTTTTTTTTCCTTTCTAATTCCAAGGGTTTGTTTCCATGCTTATACCAGAATGATGGAACTGATTTTTCTCAGACTTTGAAATGAAAGCAACTGGAAGTATGCTTGTAATGTCTACACATTAAAGGTGTAACAAACCACTCTGGCTTTAGTGAAGTCTTACACTGGTGTAACTAAAATAATTAAAATAATTGCCTAAACTTTTTAAATTTTAAAGATCGCATTGAAATGACAGATCTTCCTCTGAATTAACTCTGATCCAGCTCAGTGAAATGTATAAAGCAGTTTGGCTAAAGAATCAGTTGAAGTTCTGGTCTTTCAACTATACATCTGGCACTTGAAAACTGATCATAGAAAGCACAGCCTCTTGGTCCTGATCTAAATACAGAGTCATTAAAGCAACAGTCTAAACGCATGCTGACTTGAATAATTAAAATACAAGTACACAATGGAAAATGTAAGTGTTGCTCTGGTTATAAGTCATGAAATGAGAAAGCATTGCTTACATTTGAAAATAGTAACTATAGCTGCTGTGCTACTTTGATTAATCCTGTACTTCCCCACTTTAAGTAGTTTATTGTACTACTTTTTTTAAAGAGTTGTTGTATGGCTATTTAGAACTGAGTGAAGACTCATATTTCCTGGTCCATCCCATAGCATCTTAAATGCTTTTTTGTCTTTTCCAAAGAAATTAAAAAATTCACAATCTGGTCTTTGTAGTGAGTGTAAACAAGTAGCATTGTTTTCTTGGATCTGTAGACAGATAATAACTCGGCTACATGTTTTGTTTTGCTGGCATGTAAAGACTTAAAACTCTGAAACTTAATGTTGACAACCTTAGTTTCAGTGTTAACTATTTGACTATTCTAGCTTGAATTGAATGGTTGCTTACAAGTAGGACTTCTTGATATCAAAAAAGGTGAATGTTTCCTATATAGCCTTACAAGAGAGGTCATTTTGTTTGTCTGCTAGTGTTCAGACTATGTATGCAAACCATAAAAAAATAAATCCTCTATCAAGCTAAATATTCTTGCTTGGAAGGAGTATGGTGGGGGGACTTTAGTCTAAGATGGCTTTGAGGAATTGGAAATTAATGTTGTAATTAAACTGTCAAGACTTCAAAAATATTTTTTTACTGTCACAGACTGCTTAAAATTAATTAAACATTAAAAATAGAAAACAAAAGGTCAAGCTTTACATTGGCTATTTGTGGTCCCTTTATTTCCCCCGTGCCTCTGTGAAAATGTGTTTTTAATTGATGGAATAGAAGAGGTGTTAATTAAACACGAAGAATGCTGAAGTGCTTTTGGATGCACGTTGGCTACAGTAAGCTGTTACCATGATACACTTGTACTTAAATCTAGCTGCAGTTATGTTTGGTCTGTGTGCATGTCAACTCATGTGCTCATCTTTTACATTCAAAGTTACTGTCACCAGTTTGAAATATAAATAAGCTTCTGCTTATTGGATACCTGTTTTCAAGAATACCTGTTTTGATAATGCAGGAATCTTAACAGAGCAAAATCAGTGATGAAGTCCAGTAAAATACCCAAACCATCATCTTTGTTGAGCTTCATTCCATTTTCTCCCAAAAGGTTTCATAGTGTCCTAGTTGGTAGGGTCAGAAGGGACCTGAGCAGATCATCAAGTCCGACCCCCTGCCATGGCAGGAAAGAGTGCTGGGGTCAAACAACCCTGATAAGGTGATTGTCTAGCCTCCTCTTAAAGACCCCCAGGCTAGGAGCTGGCACCACTTTGCTTGGAAGTTGATTCCAGATCCTAGCCATCCTGACAGTGAAGTCGCGCCTCTTGATGTCTAATCTGATTCTACCCTCTGCCAGCTTGTGACCGTTATTTCTAGTCACTCCTGGTAGTGCTCAGGGAAACAGGGACTCCTGCAGTGCCTGCTGGTCCCCTCTGACTAGTTTGTAATGGGCCACTAGATCCCCCCCTCAGCCTTCTCTTGTGGAGGCCGAACAGGTTCAGGTCCTGTAGCCTCTCCTCGTAGGGCCTGCCCTCCTGCCCCCAGATCATGCGAGTGGCCTCCTCTG